TGGGGGCATTCATATTTGGTGCACAAATATTTAGGATTGTCATCTCTTCCTCTTGGATTGTTCCTTTCACAAGGATGTAGTGACCATCTTTGTCTCTTTTAGTTTTTGTTTGAAGCCTACTTTGTCTGAAATAAGATCGCTACCCTTGCTTTTTTCTGGGTTCCTGTGGCGTGAAGAACTGTTTTCCATCCTTTTACTTTCAGTCTATGAATTTCTTTTTGAGTTATGTATGTTTCTTGTATACAGAATGTGGCTAGTTTTGCTTCTTAATCCATTCTGCCAGTCTATTTCTTTTGGTTGGTGAATTGAGGCCATTAACATTGATAGTTATAATTGAGACATATTGACTCATTCTTGCCATGATGTTTTACTGTTGTTGGCTCTTTTATTTATTTTTCCCCCTTTCCCTTTAGGGTCTTACCTTGCGTGGTGTCTTCTCTCTGTTGGGCCTCATGGAGTTGTGACCTTCATTTTCTTTTTCTAGGCTATTGCTTAAAATTGTTTGGAGTGCTGGTTTGGTGTTCATGAAATTTCTCAGGTGCTCTTTGTTGTGAAAGTATCTAATTTTCCCATCAATTTTGAAAGATAATTTTGCTGGATACAACAGTCTAGATTGGAAATTATTTTCTTTTAGGGCTTGAAATACTTCACTCCAGGCTATCCTTGATTTGAGGCTTTGTGTTGAGAAATCTGGCGTGATTCTGATGGGCTTTTCTTTGTGGGTGATTTGTTTCTTTTCTCTAACTGCCTGTAGGATTTTGTTCTTCTGTTGGGTTTCTGGGATCTTGACTATTATATGTTCAGGTGTAGATATTTTTTGGTCATGGTAGTTGGAGTTCTACGTGCCTCACTTATCTGTATGTCCAATTCTCTACCTCTGTCTGGGAAGTTTTCCACTATTACTTCTGTGAACAGTTTTTTTTAAGGTTAACTGTACTTTCTCCTGTTTTTTCATGGACTCCTATCAGTCTTATGTTATTCTTCTTTGCTTCATCTAGCAGCTGTTGGATTGATATCTCATGGTCCCTTACTATCTTTAAGAAATGTCTGTTTTCATGGTCCTTAACTGCAATCCTGTCTTCTATATCTGATATTGTCTTCAGATTCTCTGAGTCTGCTCTGCATGCTTTCAATGGAGTTTTTAATCTCCTGAACATCTGTTTGAATCTTTTTCATGGATTCCCTTTCTTTCTTATGTTGGGCGATCATGCCTTCCATTTATTTATTATGCTGGGCATTCATGGCTTCCAGCATGTTTCTGATCTCATCTATTTTCTTATCTGTTTCTGTTCTAGAGCCTCTAATCATGTCTTTCACTCTGCTCACCATTTCTGTAGTTATCTAGGAGATTATTTCTGCTTTGAATTTTTCTAGAGCTTCATGCTCTAGAGCCTCATCTGTTTTGTTACTTCCTGTGCTATCAGTTCAGGGTGTCCAGACGGTTGATTGTCAGAGTTTTCCACCTCATTTCCCCCAGAATTTGTCCTTTGTGGCATGGAAGCCTGTGTTTGTGCCTTGCTTAAATGTCTTCTCATTTTTGTTTTTGGTACTGTCCTTGGTTTAATTCCTGGGTTGATATTTCAAAATTGCTTAATGTAGGTATCTTTCTTGTTTGTGTTTAAAACCCTTGTGGAATGATTGCTTTTCAGAGGTGTCTTTCAGATATAGCTTGTGTTTAGGTTTTGAGACTCTAATGACTCTGAGGCTATTTTATTTTCCTTATACCAGGAAGGAAAACTGATTAGATCAATCACAACATGTTAGCCCAAATGATACAATCTGCAATACAATCAGCATCAAGTATATCTTAGAAAATGACAATTGTGGTAGTTATTAATCTATCACATTTAACTGTGTGAATTAAATCAAAACTGAGGACCAACCCAACATATGTTTATAGTGAATAAACTCTTCAATACAGCAACTTTACCCTTTGGGATTGGGAGTTAGAAGGAGTTGGGGAGGGAGGGACAGGTAGAAAGATCAGGAATGATTAGCAGTGAGGCCAGAATACACAGGAAGATCACACAATCTCTAAGAAATTGTTAAAGGCAAGAGGAAAAGGCAGAATGAAAGAACATAGGTATGAACAGAACCACATAACAGCAATAGGGAGGCTAGATACTTTTTTTACTTTCCTTTGAAACTAATGATAATCAACAGAAGGAAAAAGAGAAGAAAAAAAAAATAAAGGAGAAATCTGAATTCAGTCCAGGAAGGAAAAAATAGGGATATGAAGAGCAATGTGGGGCAGCAAGAGAATGAGAGAGAGAAAGAGAGAGAGAGAGAGAGAGAAAATAAAAGAAAGAAAAGTAAAAATTTGAAAAGAGTAGAAAAAAGTAAAAATTAAGAATTAAAAATAAGAGAAAGAAATTTTTTTTTCTTTTTTGCAAATAGCAAAAAATAAAAATGATGGGCCTCCTTCAGGGTATGTTTCCGCTGTCGCAGTAGGCAATGTAGGCAGCTGTGTGCATATACAAGTCAATGAATCTCAGCAAGCCAGTAGCAGACCAAGTATGGTGGTCTGGTGTGCCTTTATTGTAGAGATTCTCTTTACTTTTCTGCTGAGCTTCAGTTTTCATCGAGGAGCCTGAGAGGCCCTCTTTCTGTTACTAACTTCTGCTCTATCTTGTCTCACTCAGGACAAGGGCCTTTATAATCCCCTGTGCCTCTGTAGTGTGGAAATAGGTAGCAGAAGAGCCAGGAGGCCAGAGGCAGGGGGGCGCCCAAGGGGAGAGCTGGATGGGGCAGGGGCTCCAAGCTGCACCTGGGACCTCACCGTGGTGTGGCTGGGGCCTGAAACACAGCCAGGAGCTTCCTACTTTTATCTGGATTGATGTTTTATTATACCAGTTTCAAGAAAATAAGTAACCTAGAACAATACTTGTTTATGAAAAATAGTAATGTTCCTTACCGACACATAGGACCGTTTTTCTCCACCACACAAATGCCACCATTTCTGCAATAACTTACTGGACACTCTGAAAAGCAGCAGCACAAAGACAACAGTTAATTATAAATACTACTTGGAGAGAGGAGAACATAGTACTGTTAGTTATTGCATTCGACCCAATCTTCGAAAGAAAATGGCTTCTCAGTTGCTCAAAGCAGAATTCTTCTAGGCTATTTTCCTTACCACACAATCTCCTCAGTGAATCTTGTTGTCTTGAATGGACTCATGTTCTCAGCATGCCTAAGTGAGTCACTACAAAAGACTTTCTTCTCTATGGGATTACTTACAATTAACTTACTTAACTTACTTAGAACCCAGCTGCATGATATATTAAGGATTGTATTTGTTCTGTGGCTTTGTTTTAGTAAAAAAAGATTTATTCAAAGCTAACTCTGAGGATATTTGTGACTATCCTGAATTTTTTTTGCTTGCTGAAACATTTCTTTGACTCCACACAATCGTCAACTAAATCATGGCAGCTTAATGTTTTGCATTGATGACCTTTTTTTTTTTCCCAAACTGAGCTACATTCCCACATCTTTTTATTTACTTACTTATTTAGTTACTAGTTAGTTTTTATTCATTTTTGAGAAAGGGTCTTGCTAAATCAGTGAGTTCAAAGGAAGGCTGGTTTTGAACTTGCAATCCTGTCTCAGCCTCTCAGTGCACCGTATTTTTCTGATCAACTAAATCACTTGTATGCAGGTGTATGTCCTATCCTACCTCTGTGTCTGCAACATGTGTCGGCATAGTTCAAGTTTGTCCTGGGCCCCACTATTTCATTATTTGTTCCACTCTTCAGTTCTTGTTCAGCATGAACATTTATTTTCAAAAGTGGTTTACTGATATGTTAAAAGAACTAAGTATTTTCACATAGCTTTTACCATGGAATTGATGAGCACTTTGAACTCTTCATGCCAGCTGCATCTACACTGCCTCTTGTCTCCTCCTTATGTATCCCTGATCCACTAAGACCTGCTGATTTTCCTGATTACTTATTGCTGGACTTGTTCCTCCTGGCCCTTTAAAGATCTGCTTTCCTGCAGAATACCATTCTCCCTTGTCAGTCTATTGCCATTTGAATACTTGATGAAAACTTTCACTGCCTTTAATTTTTAATACAACAAATTTATTCAAGCACACCTATTAAATGTCTGACACTGAGCCAGGCACCAGAAATATAGTAATTAATAATACAGACAGCCTTACATGGTTGGTAAGGCTGCTGGTACTGGAGGCAAGTAGCCTAAACTGGAATTCAGCTCAATTTATGAGCTGTGTAATGCTGCGGAAGGCAGTTTATCTCTTTGGGCCTCAGACTCCTCTCTGTAAAACAGGGTTAAAGATAGCACCTGTCTCCTAGGCTTGCAGAGACTGCTAGAATGTCTAGCTCCTAGTGTGTGATCCCAAAATTATGACTTCCAAAGGATACTCATGTGTGGTCCCTGGGAGACCACACAACACCTTTCAGACTCACAGAGAATGGAAAAATTCTGAAAGGAATTAAACTACTGCATGAAAACAACCTCTCTGGGATGGACATACCATGGTGAGGGGAACTGTTAGGGGAGCTCCCAAGTCAAGTTTGGGGATGAAGACAACACTTTTGTGAGGAGAGTCAGGCAGGCATTTATTTGGCAGCGATTTGTGTGTATAAAGATTAGCGTGAAGGAGTTAAGGCCTGAGAAGAGAGGAGGGTATGGCTGAGGAACTGCAGAAGCCTGCCCAGCTGGGTGGGCACCGAGATTCAGAAAGGCTAGGTGTGTGAGAAGCTGAGTGAGAGACTGTCCTGTCGGTGCTTCCCACTGAGAAAGAGAATTCCGGCTGCGGGGCGTCAGGTCAACAGAAAGCTCAAGACTAAAATTTAGGAGCCCAGGGAAGAGTCCTTCATAACAATCTGAGGAGAAATATGCTGGTTCAGGAATGAAAAGAGTAGGCTAGGCTGGGGGTGAGAGTTAGAATAATTTAAGCGATATTTTAATGTCAGAGTTGAAACATCTTGGTGATTATGTGGAAGAATCAAAGCAGATGCTCCAATTTCTGGCTGAGAAACATATTTTGATTCCCTTTCCCCTTCTTCTTCTCTTTTCCTCTTCCTCTCTATCATTAGTCAGGACCAGCAGCATCACTTTCGGAAGGCTCTGGATCCAAAGAGCCTGACAATATTTTTCTCCTTCCTCCCCAAATGATGGCAGATATTCTATATTCATCCTCATTTTGCAGAGGAAGAAGAGCCCGAGACTTCAAGCAGTTAATAAAACTTTCTTCATAGCAAAGAAACCTCCAAACTAGAATGAAATCCTGGTTATCTAACTCCTGTTCCTTTCAGTAAGAAAATATTACATGATTTCCTATTTAATACAGTGTTTCTATAACAGCTTTCATAACTTGATACTATGGGCTTGGGAATCTCTTTGAATTATGTGGCATCTATTCATGGTCACAGATAAATATACATCTGCATAATAGTCTGTGTATAATTTGCAGAGATGCATGAATTGTAGGAGTCTACCAGAAAGGCTTGTATAGCAAATCAACTCTCTAATGAGTAGAGAGTATTTTCTTTGTCTAGAAATCTCAGCATATAGAATATAAGAGAGATCAAGACTCAGAAACTTGAAATAAACTTGCCTGAGAAGTTTCTGTATACTGGGTTTTTTTAATAAACCCTTCTGAAACTTCAATGAGCTACCTGTTGTCATCAGCAGTATATATTACATATATAAAATTATATTTATAAGACACCACCCTACAATTTTATATCTTTAGTGCTTTTTATCTAATTCTCTTTCCAGTGGATGATCATCATAATTATAGCATCACTTTAGCATAAACTTTATTAACCTTTTACTGCTGCAATTAGCTAGGCAAACATATCCAGTTTACATTCAGTCTTGACAATTCTGGTCAATAATCTTCAGTTTCATATGCAACCAAAACTTTAAAATAATAAACCTTTCCAATGTAACTTAGGATTCATTGAATATACTTAACCCACCTGAACCTGATGTTGTTGTTAATGACTTAAACCCTGAGGTAGGGGAAGCCAGATGCTGGCCACCTGTTTGGTGACCACTATGGGGATCATGGGATGCCATAAGGATTGGGTTCATAAAACTTCATGAAATGCTGACCTTAAAGGAAGATGATGTTGGGAAAACCCCAGAAATATATAATGTACATCAATAACCTTTAGCATGGCTCATTCTTAAAGGCATTTTTCAATACAGAACCATTGCCTTCATCATATGTGACTGGCAAGCCAAAAAATATAAAACGTAAATAGAGAAAAATAATACCGATTTTTTTCTGAAAACTGTGTTTCACTAGATTTTTATTTTAGTCTCATGTAATAGCAAATATGATTTGTACTTTGTTAGAGGGTTGTAAGGGACTGATGCCCAACTGAAATAGACAAGGCAGCACAAATGTGTTCTCTACTTTTACCTATGGTTTTTCTATCACTTGGTATGAATGACAAGTCTTGTTTTTCTGACCCTATTATTAAAGCTAGATAATGTCAAAACAGACAGTAAATGGTACAATTTGTGCTCCTAAAAAACCATTCCAGGGAAAATATCACCTTTATGTAAATGAAAGGATGTGGATACTGTTTTTTGATAGTTTCAAATAAAAGAACTATAGGCTGGGGATTTAGCCGCCTGCTGTGCAAGTGCAAGGACCCGAGTTCGATCCCCGGTACCAAATAAAGAAAGAAAGAAAGAAAGAAAGAAAGAAAGAGAGAAAGAGAGAAAGAGAGAAAGAGAGAAAGAGAAAGAGAGAAAGAACTATAGCATTTAGAGCTTTCTTACTCCTCATAAAGAGAGCAATAAGATATCTTTTTGGATACTTTATTTGAAGTCTAAGTATGCCTAATAGAGAAGTCACGCCAAAGAGGATTGTTTATGCACAACACCTTTGCATATTTTATGGGACCACATCTCTCCACTGCTTCATATCCTATTGTATTCATAAACTCAGCAGTGTGTTAATACTCACTTCCAGTAATATTAAAAAGTGTGGTTTTTTTGGACTATGATTTGATTCTAATATCCTGCTTTTGTCATTTATACTGTTTGCCTCTCTTAAAAGAGAGATTCTTAGATCTAACAAAATATTTCCAATTTATTTAAAAAATGATTGAATGCATATCTTTTATTATTGATTCATATTATCTGTAAGTTGTGACAAGATTATTTTGCCTATGTATCTATTATTTTATATATCTCCTGTATGAAATAAAAATTCAGTCACTTGGCAGAGATGTTAACAATGAGTTATACTAAATTATAGAATTTTCAATATAGGTATAAAAACTGGTATACTTTAACAGCTCTTATAGTGTATAAATGCTCACAGGTGAGAGGAGAAAGAGATGTTTAAAAGTTAATCTAAAATTTAATAAGCTTACTTCAAAAAGCATGACTAGACCATGCAAATAGGAAGGTCTTATGAAGAAGTAGGAAAATTACAATTTCTTAAAACTATAATTTAAAAAGTTAATAGCATTAGATTGCTTAGGGTTTCCTTATTATAGAAACAAAGCAATTTCCATAAATTATTAATAATCTGAAATTAAGTTACATTAAATTACAATTGCATATTGTTTTTTCTGTATTTTGCAACCATTGCATGGAATAAACCTAAGTCCATTATATTATGTATTTATAAATGTTTTTAAATACAATGATTAATGGCAACATTCTTCTTGCCCCCAGATCAATAATAGAAATTCAATTATCCCTTTATTGCCCAATGTAGAAAGTGAACTTCTAATATTTTGACTGTCTATGGGTTAACTTACTGGTGCCTACTGCAAAGAATACTGGAGAGGAACTGGAGTACCTGAGCAGCTGGATTCATCAAGATGGAAATCCACACAGTTGGCAAAACCATCACAGCGCTGGTGAACAGGGATGCAGCTGGCAGATGAGGGGCACACCAGGGCTCCATCCAAACAGCTCTGATTGGCTGAAAAATGAACAATGATCATGGTTGGAAACATGTCTCTTTTTTCCCAATGAATTTCTCATAATTAAATAAGATACTTTATTGCACAATTGTTTATTTTTCATAGTCCTATATGAAAATAATATTGCATGAAGACAATTTTAATTAACTGGAAAATTTCTGCAAAATCATCGTCAATAATAAATTGAGTCTTTTGTGAGAAAATGCACGCACCTTTAGAGCATAATGCTACATGAAGTAAATCAGACACACAAACTTAATTGTTGCATGGTTTCTCTTATATGAGAAACCCATTCTGGGCCTTCTGTCACAGACCCATTGGCGTCCTGATAAGGCCTTGCTCAGGACACTGCAGTGAGCTCCAGACCTTCGACTAAATCCTTTGGTCTCCAGTGTGCACAGACTCTTTGCACTCTTCCCCATCCGACTCTGTGGGTGGCCATTCTCTCTCCTTGCTAGAACACAAGCTCTATGAAAGCAAGAACTTTCATTCCTGGGGGACCCCTCGGCAGGCTAATGGGCGAGCAGCTAGGTGCATGGGCGCCTGCACTACAACACCCCACCCCCACCCCCGCCTCTGGCCTGGCTGTGCCGCTACTGGTTCCACACTACAGAGGCACAGCGGGGCATAAAGAACATTGTCCAGAGGTGCAGAAGTGAACAACACAGAGAGGCCCTCTCTCAGGCTCCCTGATGAAAACTGAAGCCCACTCGAAAAGTAAAGAGAATCTCTGCAAGAAAGGCACACCAGACCACCGTGCTTGGTAAGTTGGAGGGATCATCACCTCCCACCAGAACCTGCACTATCTTCAGGGGAAGGGCAGCTGGAATCTGCAGTAGAGCCTGGCAGAGTTCAACCCTGCAGGGCAGGGAGCTCAACTTGGGACTTGCAGCCAGAAACCTGCCTGAATTTCATGGGCCTTTGACTAGCTTGTTGAGACTCACTGGCTTATATTTGCACACTGCTGCCTGCCCATGTTGTCTATTGTGACAGCAGAGACATATCCCGAAGGAGGTCCTTCGTTTTTATCTTTTCTTTGTTATTTTCAAAATTATTAT